GCTAGAATCTCTGGCCACGTGTCTCTCGGCCAGAGGCTTCACCGACAAGTCTCTGGACCGGGGTCCCCTGGTGCTGCGTCGCAATTTCATGACACCTCCGCGGATAAGCTCTCCCTTCGCGCCCTTCCCTGTGTCTTCCTTGGTTTCCCCATTGACTCCTCTGACTTCACCTTTTACCACCCTCCCCTTCACCTGGTTCTTTGACTCCCGTGACGTTCGTTTTGTCGAGTCAGTCCCCTACTACACCTGGTACCCCTGTCGAGGTCTTTCGGTACCTCCTCCTCCTCTCTTCCTGACTCCCGCCCCCCCTCCTGCCCCTTAGGTACAGCCCCCCCCCAGTCCAGCCCCGTCAGGTGTGTCACACGCTACCCCTCCCCCCTCGGTAGCCCCTCAGGTGCCGTCCCCTTCCCCACAGTCCTCCCAGCCTGCAGCAGACCCTGCGGGAGCTGGTTTTCGTGGCGAGGACCCTGGAGGTGCTAGCTCTAGAGGTGCTGGAGTTGGAGCAGAGAGCGTACTTGTGCGAGGGCGTGGTTCTGGGGGTGCTGGAGTTGGAGCTGAGCCCGTAACTGCAGGAGACTCTAGTCTTCGGGGAGCTGGTGTTAGTGGAGCTGTCCCTGGGGGTGCTACGACTGGGGGGGCACCCTCTGCTTGGACCTGGAGAGCCTGGGACGGGCCCTGTTACTTCTGGTGGTGCTGGCTCTGGGGGTGGTGCGACTGGTTCTTTGGAGAGCGGTCCTGGGCTACCGCCGCACCGGACACTACTCCTCCTCCCCACCCCTACCCGACCCGGCACCAGGCCCGTGTTCGCGGTGCCTGTGAGGAGCAGCTGGAGTTCGAGCGAGAGGAGCGAGAGCTGGAGCGGCAGCAGCTGGAGCTACAGCGGTTTGAGCAGCAGCAGCAGCAGCAGCAGCCGGAGCAGCAGCCGGAGTAGGAGCAGCCACAGCAGCAGCCGCAGCAGCAGGAGCAGCAGCAGCCGCCGCAGCTGGAGGAGCAGCGGTCGCAGCCGCAGCAGCAGCAGCAGCAGCAGCAACAGCCGCCACCTCCTCCTCCTGTCTATGGTATTCGGGCCCTCGGTCTCCCCTCTCCTTCTCCTCCCTCCTCCCCTCTCCTCCTGTCCCTGGTCCTCCGCTTCCTCCCCCTGACCCCTCCCCAGCTGTTTTCCCTCCTTCTCTGCCTCCGTTGTCCCCTCCTCTTCCTCACACTTGGCCCTCGCGTCGCTCTCTTCGTGCTCGTCCCTCGTCCCCTTCCCTTCTGTGACCTTCGTACTGCCCTGTTTTGTTCTAGTCCGCCTCGTTCGTCTCCTTCTGTACTTTCCTTCTCCTCCTGAGTCGGCTCTCACTACTTCCCTCTGTACTCCTGTTACGGACTAGTACCGCACGTACTTTCATGTCCTCTCTCGTGTTCTCGCCTCTCTTGTTACCGACCCACGTGCTTCGCTGTCCTCTGTCTCCGCTCTTACTGCCGCAGTCACTGAGTTTGCCTCTACTCGCCGCCTTGAGTACGCCACCAGTCTTGTGGCTGCTCCTCCTACCAGTCCTCTGGCCGTCGGGGGTGAGTCTACGCTTGGTTGTGACGCCCTAGAGGACAGGCAGTTTGAGCTAGAGTTCCTGGCAACCACTCCCCTCATCTCTGTGCCATGCTGCTCGCCTCCTGAGGGAGACCCTGACGCCCTTGACCTACCGACTCCTCGCACTTACGCTGAGGCAGTGTTAGGGCCTTGGGCCTCTCAGTGGAGAGCTGCCATGGACTCAGAGATGGCCTCCTACAGATCCACAGGCACTTACGTCGACGAGGTCCCCCCCCCTTGGACGAACGTAGTCGATGTCATGTGGATCTTCAGAGTAAAGCGGCCACCGGGATCTCCTCTGGTCTTCAAGACGTGCTATGTGGCTAGAGGTTTCAGTCAGCGCGAGGGAGTTGACTTCTTTCATACCTTTGCGCCTACCCCGAAGATGACCACTCTTTGGGGGTTACTGCACGTAGCAGCACAGAGGGACTACAAGTTACACTCTCTCGACTTCTCTACTGCTTTCCTTCAGGGTAGCCTACACGAGGAGGTCTGGCTGCGTCGTCCCTCTGCCTTCACTAACACTTTCCCTCCTGGGACCCAGTGGAGGCTGAGGCGACCGATCTACGGTCTCCGTCAGGCTCCTCGTGAGTGGCACGACACCCTTCGTTCTACCCTGCCTGACCTCGGTTTCCAGCCGTCTATTGCTGATCCGTCGCTGTTTGTTCGGCGTGGCTCCACACCGTTCTTTGTACTGGTCTACGTCGACGACCTGGTTTTCGCCACTGTTGACAGGGTTGCTTTGGCTGACGTGAAGCGCGAACTGCAGAAGAGACACACGTGCACTGACCTTGGTGAGCTGCGCCACTACCTTGGCCTGCAGATCAGCAGGGACAGAGCCGCTCGCACCATTACACTCTCACTGTCAAACATGGTGCAGCAGGTCCTTCAGCGGTTCGAGCTTCAGCTCTCCACAGTACAGCGCACACCTCTTGCTGTTGACCACAGACTCACTGGACCCTTCCCCGACGAGCCGCTTGAGCCTAGTGGTCCTTACGCAGAGCTTGTGGGCTGCCTCATGTACCTGATGACTTGTACTCGCCCGGACCTCGCCTTCCCTCTTAGCATCCTTGCTCGCTTTGTTACGCCAGGGAGACACCGTCCAGTTCACCGTCTGTAGTGACGACATCAGGCGTGGTGCTGATTCTTGAAGGGCAGCACTCTGTTGTACTTACTGGACACTGTGACTCTTTTTACGCTGACGACGCCGAGACTCACAAATCTACTCAGGGGTACTGCTTCAACCTGGGCTCTGGAGCTGTTTCGTGGAGGTCCACGCGTTCCTCCTCGTTCTCGACCTCCACTGCTGAGGCCGAGATCTACGCTCGAGCCATGGCTGCACAGGAGCTGCGTTGGTTGACCTTCTTGCTCACCGACCTTGGTGAGCAGGCCGCGCACTGCACCGACCTTGTTCACTAACAACAAGGCCTCGATTCTTCTCTGTCGAGAGCCGCGACTGGAGAGCAGAGTGAAGCACATCAACGTCAGGTACTTTCTTCTATGAGGGTTGCAGCGGCGTGGACAGGCTCGCTTCGACTTTGTGGAGTCCAAGGCCAACTACTGCAGACATCTTTACCAAGGCGCTTCCGCCTTGTGACCACAAGAGGTGTATACAGTTAGGTCTCGTTGACACAGGTTCTCGCCTTGCGTAGTCTTGAGTTCTCAGTTTGCTTTGTTTGTACATTTTTATATATACCTCTGTGAACTCTTGAACTGGCCTTGTGGCTCTTTTGCTTGTGCTCGGAATGTTTGGTGACGTTGTGATCCACCCTGAGCTTTGTTTCTCAGTGACTGGTCTTATGACCATACACTTTTGGTTTTGCTTGACACACACCCCTCACTTAGACTATGGGGGTGTGTCAAATGTTGTAGCCTTAGTGTTGTGTGTTATAGGGGGTACAACTTGTTAGGGTTATGTACGCCAACCAAACTTAGTCAAACCAACACTTTCATTCTTGATACCGTAGCACACCCCATTTTCTACACATTACCGTTACCACTTTAGCTTCGCTACTTATTCTTCGCTCGTGCCTTCGCTCGATGTACTGTTTTTTCTTCGATAGTGCAATTCTCGCTCGCGTCGCTCAATTGCACTCGTAACAGCTATTAGAAGAAGGTTTTATTTCTCCAGGGAGTGCAGGACTCACACTAATGCTTGTTGTAATAATACCTAGAAGTGGTGCTCAGTTCTACAGAGTTAGTAATTTTGTATCTGCAATCGGGTCAACACAAGCACGCCGCTGACCTCCGTGCCGAGCCCACCCTTTCATCTGCAGAAGGGCCATTCTAGCCTGATCTCAGAATGCACTTTTGCCACGTCATACCATATCCGTCCATCCATCACATTGCCGCAGCTTATTTTCAGAAAGGCGAGCAGCGGTTCAGTGCGGTGACTTGTACGTCGATTGGCCAAACACTCGACGCGATCTGCTAAGCCTGCGCTACCCACGATAGCGTGTGTGTGTGAGTGAACGTGTTACCGTTTGTGCTGCAATGGCAGCTGCAATGCGATCGTGCCGCCACGTGCCGTGCGCTCCGGCCCTTGGGAATGAGCACGAAAAGCGTCGCTTTGGCCATGTCGCCTTTCAGGGTAGGGAGATTGGCGGGAGCAGCACAACGTACTCATATGTCAGATGCGTGTATCGAATTGCCCAAATTGACTCAATAGCGGGGACAGAGAGAAGACCAGCAGCTAGTCGACCATTTCGAGTCGTCACCGCGAGGTTACCAGCGGGTTTTGCGGGGCCTCAGGACGGAAGGCTAGCAGCAAGACCGTCAATTGCGGGGAAGTCGAGATTGGCGGAAACAGCGCGATCTGCTGCTCCTGGCGCGCGAGTCAAAGCGCACGCCGTGGCATGGCGGAGCGGAGGGGGCGGCGAGGGAAGCGGCGGCAATGACGAAATGGGGAGAGGGGGCGGCGGAGGAAGAGGGGGAGATGGAGGCGGAGGAGGAGGGGGAGGTGGGGGAGAGGATAGCGAAGACGGCGGTGGTTGCGGAGGGCAAGGTGGTAACCAGCAGGAACATGGTTACTGGTTCCTATTGAAGCTGTTTTCTGATTGGTTTAACTCCCTTTTCGACGGCCTCTCTCCTCTATTCCACAAACGCCTGAGCGCCTTATCACTCTCCGTGTTTCTCCTTACCATGCTTCCGTTGCTCCTCTCCCCGCTCGCGCGCGCGGAATCCGCGCTTCTTCGCCGCCCTGCGCCCTCTCCTGCGGCCGCCGCGCCCGCCGGGGACCAAGAGGTGATATGGGAGCTCCACGGTGACAGGTGGCGGCGCCTGATTGGCGGAGACAGCAGCAGCAGCGCGAGCAGCAGCAAGGGGAAGAAGGGCCAGCTAGTGGTGGAAGTTGAACTGGAAGGCGAGGAAGCTGCTAACGCGTACGAGGAGGAACACGGACGCGTTGTAAAGGGGATCGTTACAAGCACGGGGAATGGCAACGGGAAGGCCGCAGGGGGGTAGGGTTTTAGCGGGGGAGGAGGATGAGCGGAGCAGAGGGGGGGATATGGTTGCGCGGGTGGTGAGGGGAGTGAAAGCGGCGGTGGTGAGATGGATGTTACCAGAGGGTTATCCCGATAGTGTGACTCCTGACTATATGGAGTACACAGTGTGGCGCATGCGGCAAACAGTGGCGAGCGAAATGAACCACGTGCTTACAACGCAGGTGAGAGGCGTTTCTATGTCGCAGGCTCCTTCAATTGAGGTCTGTTTGCTATGTCTAAGAACCTTCCTCTCCCCTGCCCTCCTCTCTCCGTCCTTTTCCTCACCTGAAGCCCTTTCTTCTCTCTCTTCTCTCAAACGGTCCTTCGTGGTAAAGGACGGGCTGGGCTATGCAGCCGAGGTCACGCCCTCCCAGTTCAACATGTTGCATCCCTTCCCCCTCGAACGGTCCTTGCATTAATCACGGTGGGTGTTACAAGGAAGGTGCAAACACAAGCAAGACAAACAACCAGACCACAATTCTACCTGTCACACCTACTCCTTCCCACTCCCGGCCCCCTCTGTCCGACCCTACTGGCCGAATGGGGGCTCAATCAGCTGGTGGTGCAGCTGTCCCTCGCTAAGAGGGACGATGGGGCCCTGCATGCCGAGCTTGTCCGCTGCCAAGGCCTCGTTGGTCTTGGAGCGGAGGGCATTGGCCTGCGCTCTCTGGAGGCAGACACTCCAGCGCTGGCGGTACTCCGTCAGCAGCTTGGCTGCCTCGTATGAGGTAGGTGCTGCGTTGTATCGCAGCTTGGCCGCTAGCTCCGCGCACTGCCGCAGGTAAGCCATCACCCCCGGGGAAGGATAGCCGTATGTCTCGACTGCAAGGGCGTGGAAGCCCACCCACGCGTTCCGTCGCGCGTATTTCTCCTCCTTCCTAGCTGCTGCCGCCCTTGCCGCCCACCCTGGAGCCCGACTGCATTCTTCATCCTGGTAGGACACGGGATCAGTCACAGTCACGTCACACAACCACACTCTCTCCCTCTCTTTCCTCCCTCTCTTCCCTCTCTCCCTCCCTTTCTCTCTTCCCTCTCTCGCTTCCCTCCCTCTCTTCCCTCTCTCCCTCCCTTTCTCTCTTCCCTCTCTCGCTTCCCTCCCTCTCTTCCCTCTCTCCCTCCCTTTCTCTCTTCCCTCTCTCGCTTCCCTCCCTCTCTTCCCTCTCTCCCTCCCTTTCTCTCTTCCCTCTCTCGCTTCCCTCCCTCTCTTCCCTCTCTCCCTCCCTCCCTCTCTTCCCTCTCTCGCTTCCCTCCCTCTCTTCCCTCTCTCCCTCCTGCAGGCAATGCTGTACGCGGTGGGGCTGGGAAAAGGCGCCATCCCAGCAGCAGCCGCGGTCAACTGGGTGCTGAAAGAATCCAAAGTCACACTCTCCCAGTTCAACCTGGAACCATTCGTCTCTCCTCCCTCTCTTCCCACTTTCTCTTCCCTCCTCGCCTCTCCAGGCAATGCTGTACGCGGTGGGGCTGGGCAAGGGCGCCATCCCAGCAGCAGCCGCGGTCAACTGGGTCCTAAAGGACGGGCTGGGCTACGCAGCAAAAGTCACGCTCTCCCAGTTTGGCCGCCATTTCGACGTCTCCCCCAAGCGCTCGCGCCTCCTCTCCGACCTCGTCGAGAACCTCTCCGCCTCCCTCGAGCTCCTCACCGCCACCTTCCCGCAGTACTTCGTTCAACTGGCTGCTGCAGCCGGGGCAGGGTTCTCTGCTTCCAGTCTCGTGCAGAGTGCCACGAGAAACCGGTTTTACGCCGGGCTGGCAGGCAGAAGAAATTTCGCCGAGGTAAGGCAGCACCTTAGGTCGGGCAGGTGAGAGTGCCGATGCGAGCAAGTGGGATTGCCGATGTGGGCAGGTGAGAGGGCCTGTGAAGGGACATTCCCTCGCTCTGACCTCGTGGAGAATCTCTCCGCCTCCCTCGAGCTCCTCACCGCCACCTTCCCGCAGTACTTCGTTCAACTGGCTGCTGCAGCCGGGGCAGGGTTCTCTGCTTCCAGTCTCGTGCAGAGTGCCACGAGAAACCGGTTTTACGCCGGGCTGGCAGGCAGAAGAAATTTCGCCGAGGTAAGGCAGCACCTTAGGTCGGGCAGGTGAGAGTGCCGATGCGAGCAAGTGAGATTGCTGATGTGGGCAGGTGAGAGGGCCTGTGAAGGGACATTCCCTCGCTCTGACCTCGTGGAGAATCTCTCCGCTTCCCTCGAGCTCCTCACCGCCACCTTCCCGCAGTACTTCGTCCAGCTGGCCGCTGCTGCCGGGGCGGGGTTCTCTGCTTCCAGCCTCGTGCAGAGTGCCACGAGAAACCGGTTTTACGCCGGGCTGGCAGGCAGAAGAAACTTTGCCAAGGTGAGCATGATATTCTGCCCTGCTTCGGGCAGGTGAGTGAGAGGGCCTGTGGGGGGACATTCCCTCTCCCTCCCTCCCTCCCTCGAGCTCCTCACGGCCACTTTCCCGCAGTACTTTGTGCAACTGGCCGCTGCTGCCGGGGCCGGGTTTTCCGCGTCCAGCCTCGTGCAGAGCGCCACGCGGAACCGATTTTATGCTGGATTGGCGGGCAGAAGAAACTTTGCTGAGGTAAGGAGGTGGCTTGCTTCGGGCAGGTGAGAGCTCCGATGTGGGGAGGTGAGACCGTGAGAGGGCCTGTTGGGGGGGCACTCCCTCCTCCCTCCGCCTCCCTCGAGCTCCTCACCGCCACCTTCCCGCAGTATATCGTCCAGCTGGCCGCTGCGGCCGGAGCGGGGTTTTCCGCGTCGAGCCTTGTGCAGAGCGCCACCAGGAACCGGTTTTATGCTGGCCTGGCGGGCAGAAGGAATTTTGCCGAGGTGAGATGATTCTGCCTTGGGTCGGGCAGGTGAGAGTACCGATGGGGCAGGTGACAGGGCCTGTGGGCGGGCATTCCCTCCCTCTCTCCGCTTCCCTCGAGATCCTCACACTCGCAGTAATTCGTCCAGCTCGCTGCTGCTGCTGGGGCGGGGTTTTCAGCATCGAGCCTCGTGCAAAGCGCCACGAGGAACCGGTTCTATGCCGGGCTGGCGGGCAGAAGAAATTTCGCCGAGGTGAGATTCCGCCTTGATTTGGGCAGGTGAGAGCGCCGATGTGGGCAGGTGAGAGGGCCTGTGCAGGGACATTTCTACGCTTCAACATCGTGGAGAAATTATTCGCCTCCATCCCTGGAGCTCCTCACAGCCACCTTCCCGCAGTACTTCGTCCAGCTGGCTGCTACTGCCGGGGCGGGGTTTTCTGCTTCCAGTCTCGTGCAGAGCGCTACCAGGAACCGGTTTTACGCCAGGCTGATGGGCAGAAGAAACTTCCTGAGGTGAACATGAGATTCTGCCCTGCTTCGGGCAGGTGAGAGGGCCTGTGAAGGAGCATTTCCCCCCTGCCTCTCCGCCTCCCTCGAGCTCCTCACAGCCACCTTCCCGCAGTACTTCGTGCAGCTGGTCGCTGCTGCTGGGGCGGGGTTTTTGGCTTCCAGTCTCGTGCAGAGCGCCACCAGGAACCGGTTCTACGCCGGGCTGACGGGCAGAAGAAACTTTGCCGAGGTAAGGAAGTGCCGTGCCTTGCTTAGGGAAGGTGAGGGCTCCGATGTGGGGAGGTGAGACCGTGGAGGGCCTGTTGGGGGGCACTCCCTCCTCCCTCCGCCTCCCTCGAGCTCGTCACAGCCACCTTCCCGCAGTATTTCGTCCAGCTGGCGGCTGCTGCCGGGGCGGAGTTTTCTGCTTCCAGTATTGTTCAGAGTGCCACGAGGAACCGGTTTTACGCTGGATTGGCGGGCAGAAGAAATTTTGCCAAGGTGAGATTCCTCCCTGCTTCGGGCAGGTGAGAGAGCCTTTGCTCAGCGTTTCAAGCGCCTGTTCTGTTAGGATGCGATGTCTGAAGTGCAAGTGGAGAGCCAGGGAGGTGGCTGTAAGGAGCTAGAGGGATACATTTTCTCCCTTGAGCTCCTCACAGCCACTTTCCCGCAGTATTTCGTCCAGCTGGCGGAGCAGAAGAAATTTCGCCGAGGTGAGAGTGACTGGTTGAACTTTTGGTATTGGATTGGTCTGGGCGTTTTGAAAATGGTGCAAAAGAGACCAGAAATAGCCCTTGGGATTGCCAGGTCCGCAAGCACTGCTATGGCGCTGCATGTGCTTGACTGCCTTGACTTTTGAGTCTAATAAAAAGTCACGTCTGTGTTCATCCACTCCTGTGACCAAATCTTGTGCCCTCCGACTTCTTTTCCCCCAGTTTCATCCACTCTTCTGACCAGCTCGGGTGACACACCTGCTGCTGTCTGATCCGTGTATCTAACTTCATTCACTCTCTGCTCCTCCCCTTCCTCTCCCCCCAGGTGCTAGCACGCGCAGAGGCACAGGGCATGGTGAGCAAGACATTGGGGATGGCACTAGGCATCGCCATCGCTCCACACGTGGGCAACCGGGGCCCTCTACTCTGGGCGACTCATGGCCTGCTGTCCGCCGCGCACCTGTTCTGCAACTACCGCTCGTACAAGGCTGTACAACTCAGGACACTCAACCCCTTCAGAGCAGGTGAGCAGCAAGAAAGGCCAGGGCACTCGGGCACTTGCTGCTCGGCACCAGTGACCTGTAACCACCTGAATCGACCATATCTCCTTAACATGTGTGCCTCGAAGCAGCTTCCTCCAATGCTCTGCCCTCTTTTGTCCCTCCTGTGCTCTCTTCTCTTCTCCCCTTGGTACTTTCCCCAGATATTGTCCTGGCAGAGTATGTGACCAATGGCAGGGTGCCAGGTGTCATTGACGTCAACTCACAGGAGCCCATTCTGCCGCCCCTCAAATCGATATTTTCGCCCAAGGTAACTGTCTGGATGTGGTGCGTGTTTGGTGCATGTGTGGTGCGTGTGTGGTGCGTGTGTGGTGCGTGTGTGGTGCGTGTGTGGTGCGTGTGTGGTGCATGTCTGGTGGATGTGTGGTGCATGTGTGTGCATGTGTGGTACTTGTGTGGTGGATGTGTGGTGCATGTGTGGTGGATGTGTGGTGCATGTGTGGTGCATGCGCGTGCGTGCCTTATATTTGTGTTACATGCGCGTTACATGTCTTGTATGTGTGCCATGCAAGTGGGTGTCCTGCTTGGTATGTCACCTTCCGCCTATCACCCCTCTCCTTCCCTCTCCTTTCCATCCCTTCCCCTTCCTCGGGCGTCTCCCCCACCCCTCCCCGGCACGGGTAGCGAGAATTGGATCGAGTTTGGGGTGCCCTTGGCAGCAGTGGCGCACACAGAGAGACGTCTCAACCCGCACCTTCTCTCCATTTCCTCTCCGTTCCCTTCTACTCCAATGTTTGGGGAGTCTAAAATATTGCCCCACTTCGTCTCCGTTCCCCTTTTCTCTCCACTATGCAGGACAATCCACCACCAGCGCCTGGGACAGGGAGCGAGAACTGGATCGAGTTTGGAGTGCCTTTGGCCGCAGTGGCGCACACAGAGCGGGAGGCAGAGACCATGGCTGATATATTCCGAGGAGAGAAGTATTTGCTTGGGCGGGACGAGCGAACTGGACAGATGCAGGTGCGTGCCTTGAGTGTGATTGTGGTTTGGTGTGAGAACAAGGGAGAGGGTGTGTGGCGCACACAGAGCAGGAGGCCGAGACTATGGCGGGGATATTCCGAGGAGAGAAGTACGTGCTGGGAAGGGATAAGAGAACGGGGCAGATGCGGGTGGGTGCCTGCCATGTGTGTGTAAGGGTTGGGTGGGCATTAGGGGAAGAACAAGGGGAATTCCTTCCAGGCAGCCCTACAAGCCGCCTACCTCCGCACACTCTCTCCACACTCCCTCTGTCCCGCCATCCACTCTCTCGCCCCTCAAGCGCGCACCCACATCCAAGCCCGCGCAGCCGAGTTTTGCCGCCTTAAAAAACTAGAGGTGCTGCATGCTCTCCTCTTCCTCTTAACACTTTGCCTTCCCTCTCACCCCTGTCAACGCATCCCCAGGTTGTCTTGAAGGAAGGAGCACTCCCTCGGGATTTCCTCAGAGCAGCCCTGCAAGCTGCCTACCACTAAATGCCATCCTCCTCTGCCCACCGACATGCCTCCTCACCCCTCGCACCCACCATCCAGGTTGTGTTGAAGGAAGGAGCTCTCCCAAGGGACTTCCTCCGAGCAGCCCTGCAAGCCGCCTACCTCCGCACCGCACGCACACTCGCTTCACACTTCAACTGCCCCACTGCAAGCTGCCTGCCTTTCAATTCTCACCTCTTCCTCTAAATGCCATTCCATGCCTTTTCACCCCGGGGACCCTGTCACTAACCCACCAGGTTGTGTTGAAGGAAGGAGCTCTCCCAAGGGACTTCCTCCGAGCAGCCCTCCAAGCCGCCTACCTGCGCACGCTCGCCCCACACTCCCTCTGCCCCACAACCCACTCTCTCGCCCCTCAAGCGCGCACCCACGTCCAAGCCCGCGCAGCTGAGTTCGCCTCGTTTGGGAAACTAGAGGTGCTGCATGCTTCATATAACCGCATGGCGGGGGGGTTTGACGGGTTGTGTGAGGAGCTGAGAGCGAGTGGGTGGCGCTGCGATGATGGCTTGCTGGCGCGGCCGGGGGATTGGCGACTGCTGCTGGAATCAGCTGATAAGAGCAAGTGAGGGATGGGAGTGCAGCTGAGTTTGCTTCTTTCGGGAAGCTAGAGATGCTGCATGCTTCCTATGACCGCATGGCGGGAGGGTTTGACGGGTTGTGTGAGGCGCTGAGGGCGAGTGGGTGGAGCTGTGACGATGGCTTGCTGGCGCGGCCGGGGGATTGGCGACTGCTGCTGACGGCAGACAAGGGGAAATGAGGGATGGTTGGGAGTGCAGCAGCGTTTGCATTGGTGGGGAAGCCAGTTGGAGTTGCCGCATGTGTCATATCACTGCATGGCAGGAGGGTTTGACGTGCTGTGTGAGGCGCTGAGAGTCTGTGGTTGGCGCTGTGATGATGGCTTGCTGGCGCGGCCGGGGGACTGGCGGCTGCTGGTGTCAGCGGATAAGGGGAAGTGAGGGATGGGTGGGAGTGCAGCAGTGTTCTCCTTGTGCGGGTGGGTGCTGTGCTGCACGCTTATGACCTCGTGGCAGGGGGGGGTTGAACTTTGAAGGGCTAGGAGATGCATTTCCTCAGTACGGCACTGAGGGCCAGCAGGTGGCACTGCGACGATGACTTGCTGGCCTAACCAGGGGATTGGCGGATGCTGGTGTCTGTGGATTAGGGGAAATGATGGTTGGGAGAGCAGTAGCAGGTGCATCGTTTGGGAAACTCGGGGTGGTGGTGCGTCAAAGATTAGTGAGTGCTGACATCATCAGGAGATGATGAGAAATGAGGGATTGGGGGAGCAGCAGTGTTTGCATCGGCTAGGAAGCTAGAGATGATGCATGCACACGTGTGTGATGGTGGGAGACATGACATTTTCATTTCTTTTTGAGGAGATTCTAAAATGGAGTTAAGGGTAGAAAAGAAACTTATGCAACATAGCTTGAATATTGGAGAATTTGAAATACGCAGTTGGCACAGCAGATCAGATAGGTAAGGATAAGCAAAGATATGAGGTGCATGATGCTAGGAGACACAGGGCCTCTGGTGCAGTGGTTGATGCAACAAAACACTGAGTTCCTAGGTCTGTTGTTCTCCACCTCCAGAAGCAAGACAAGGCTTGGTGCATTAGTAGCATGTGGAGATGCAGGAGATGCAGGAGATGCAGGAGATGCAGGAGATGGCGCTGATGCAGCGGGTGGGGCGGTAGTTCATGCTGATGCAGTGGGTGGGGCGGCAGATGGTGCTGAGCAGGCAGTGCAGCAGGTGGTTCAGGGATGAACTGGTTGCGGTTGGGGATGGAGATGGCAGCATCGATGTTGTCAGGCAGGCCTCTGTGGCGGCCCAGCAGCATCACCAGCACCAGCACCAGCACCAGCACCATCACCAGCACCAGGTGCAACAGCTACAGCAGTGGCAGCAGGGGCAGCAGATACAAGAGATGCAGCAGGCGGTGCAGCAGGCAGTGCAGGTTCGGGAATGAACTGGTTGCGGTTGGGGATGGAGATGGCAGCGTCGATGTTGTCAGGCAGACCTCTGTGCCGGCCCAGCAGCATCACCAGCACGAGAACCAGCTTGGACCAAGGACTCCAGACGCCTGAAAGGTGCGATACGGGGAAGGAAGAGAAGCACGATTTGGTTCAGAAGCAGAAGACCCAGCAGCAGCATCAGCGGCAGCGGCGGCAGCAGCAGCAGCAGCGGTGCCAACAGCAGCACATGCATCTCTCCATGAATGCTCAAAATTCAACCTTTAAACACGACTTTTGGATTGACCAAGAAATCAGATTTAGCTGAATCACTGATATGCAACACAAGCACATCTTTATGAATGTTCATCATTTAAACAGTACAACAATTCATCCCCCCTATGATCTCCACACCTGCCACTGGCCACCTCCCAAAAGCAACGACAAGCAGGCGTGTGCTCTGAAATTAACAGAAAGGCTGACCAGACAGGGCCCTTCTTAACCTTGCAACCTGGCAGATCCGAGGTTGCAGCAGAGGAGCCATTCTGGGAAAGTTCTAAAAAGGGGCGCACCAAATACGAGACTATGGGAAATTATAGAAACGGAAGCAGCAGAGGAGCCACTCTAGGACGCTAAAAGAAGAAGAAGAAGAAATAAATAAAAACCGCGCACCAGAGAAGCTATACGGAGGAGTGACACAGTCAGGACCAGCTTCAGGCGGACAGGTGTAGCCCAAGGAAAGGCCCACGTTGCCATATCCACTGCGGGAGAAAAACAAGTGCAAAGGTAAAGGTATGGCGTGTCAGCATTGGGAGGCCCACATTGCTGTATCCACTGCCAGAAAAGAACACATGCGAGGATGGGTATGTTGGGAGATCTTCAGACATAGTCACCAGAGAGCAGCTGTGCCCAGGCAAAGGTTACTGCTAAGCCATGACAACAATGGAAAAGGTTCCCATTCGCACGTCCACTGTGAGCCCAAACATATGAACGATTTTCGAGAAATTCTAGAAAAATCGCTCACAAGAAGAGCAGCAGTGCGCAGGCAACCACTATTTCTAAGCCATGTCGAAAATGGAAGAGGTTTTTGGCCACTGCAAGCCCAAGCATACGCAAGGATAGATGGAGGGGCCTCAAGAAAAGCACCCGAGGAGACCGGTTTTGAGGCGCCTAAAAACAGAAAAACACCTGATGAGCAAGACAGGTTTTGCCGCACGCACCCCTCGCGACGAGTCAAAGAAAGCTTGAACATGAAGGACCATGCGATCTGATGGCGCTGATTGGCTGCTGAACAAGGGTTTCACTTTTGAGAATTTCTCAAAAGGTTTGACCACAGCATGCATGGATGGATGTGCACATACATGGCTGATGAGCACGATATCGCCGATATCGCTGCACACACAGCTGAGAATGCGCATAGAATCAGCACCTGATGAAGCGCCTAAAATAAAGCACCTGATGAGCTCGAAGGCGATGCTGAAGATGTTGAAGTTGGAGATGCCGCTGGGACTTTTGAGTCAAATCAAAAGGTGACTTGACTTTTGAGTCGACTCAAAAGTCAGCTGATGATGCGCCTAGAACAAAGCACCTGATAAGCTCAAAAGCGATGTTGAAGATGTTGAAGTTGGCGATGTCGCTGGTGATGTTGGCGCTCTCTACGAGGCAGATCACCAGCAGTGCTATGAAGAGCGATTGAGGGCCTAAGCTGTTCCTTGATGAAGGCTTGAACACAGCATGTGGGGACTGGGCGCACTCACTCACCTGATGAGCTCAAAGGCAATGTTGAAAATGTTGAAGTTGGCGATGTCGCTGGTGATGTTGGCGCTCTCTATAAGGCATATGACCAGCAGTGCTATGAAGAGCAACGCCGAATCCCGCAGAAGCAGCCCTCTGCCCTGGGTGAACACCCCGTGATCCAGCACTCCCCCCTGCATGGATAGTTGAGGGAAGACAAGTGAGCTGCATCAGAACACCGTTTACAGGGTCAACACCCCGTGATCCAGCACTCCCCCCTGCATAGATAGTTGAGGGGAGAGACACATGGGAGGTGATTTATGAGGCCAACTGAATCATAAGCCGTTTACAGAGCCAATCATTCAGCAGCACACCCCCCTGCATGACTTGTGTCACGCCAAGTGATACGCCAAGTGATACGCCAAGTGATGTGCCAAGTGATGTGCCATGTTATGCCATGACAAGCGAGGAGGGATGAGAGTGGCATGGATGGTGGGCGGTGAAGGATGGAAAAGCCCAGTTGTTTCTCAAGAATGAAAAGAAAAAAAATACACACACAACAAACTTTAATGAGCATCTCGGCCCTCACAGGTTACCTCAGGCCCTCACAGATGTAATGTATGTAACCCCATACTACCTTCACAGATGTAATGTAACCCCATACTACCCTCACGGATGTAATGTAAACTTGCCAGCAGCTCTTCCCAGAACACCCCAATGTCCTCATCGTCATACACCTCCCTCTGCTCCCTTGACGTCTGCCTCGTCCCCTACACCCCTCCCCATCCCCCACACCCCTCCCCATCCCACAAGTTCTCACTCATTCGCAGGGACTTGGAACAGAACTTGCCTGCAGGTCTTCCCAGAACACCCCGATATCCTCATCGTCATACACCTCCCTCTGCTCCCTCGATGTCTGCCTCGTCAGGTACAGAGGATACACAGCCACGTACCTGCTCACGTTCGAGAGAGCAGCAGGGAATGGAATGGAAGGGCGGGCGGTTGTGGGGATGGAAAGGAGGGCGGTTGTGAGATTGGATTGGAATGGAATGAAATGGAATGGAATGGGGGCTGGGTGTTTTTTAGAATTTTCAGAAACTCCATGCGAAGCCAGAGTTGGTAATGATATTTTTTTGTGCAATGGATTCATGGCCACACACCTGAGCAGAGTTTGGAAGGGAGGCTGGGATATGTAAGGGAGGGTGATGTCCCATGCACTCTCACACCATGCCCCTTGCACTCTCACACCATGCCCCTTGCACTCTCACACCATGCCCTTCACACCATGCCCCAAGCACTCTCACACCATGCCCCTTGCACTCACACCATGCACTCACATCATGCCCAGGTATAGCAGCAGCATGGGGGGGCGCAGGAGGCCGATGGCAATTACGTTGAATCCCGCGTTGCGTGTGCTCACAGATTGGAAATATCCTGCCAGTACCTTGGTCCCGCCTGGCATGCGCACACACACAAACACAAAGGGTAGAGGGGGAGAAGAGTGGAGAAACTGTGTTTGAGGTGCCTCAAAAAGCATTGCGTGTGCTCACAGATTGGAAATATCCAGCCAATATCCACCTGGCATGCACTCACACACAACCATGAGGTGGGGGGAATGTGGAGTAACATTGTGTGTGGGGTTTTGTTTTGTTTTTTGTTTTTTTTTTGGGCAGACAAAGCCCCCACCAAAAGGAAGAATTGCTCTCTTCCCAGACACATCCTCAGGAAATACGTACGTAATCCTTGTTTGTTGGTCTTTAGGTGACTTTTGAGTCGACGCAAAAGTTCCCTCAGGAAGACAAATCCTCTGGGAATATATACGTAATCCTTGTTTGTTGGTCTTTTTCGCATACCCGCAGTCCACATGCAACTCACTGGTGAAGCCGTCAATGGCAGGTGAGGTCCAGTCAGTGGCACAGAAGAAGACAAACTCCGTGAGATTGAACACGAGCACTGTTAGCACGAGCATCACGGTGGAGCGCGGTGGGAAGAGGTGCGTGTAGCACTTGCGCGGGTGCACGAGAAGGTAGGAGTAGACGAACTGAGGGGCACGGGGTGAGGGGGGCGAAAATCACTTGTCAATACAAGAAGAACCCAGTTTAATGAGTCTGCTTTTGAAGCACCTCAAGAGAGGTGCGTGTAGCACTTGCGCGGGCGCAAAAGAAGGTACGAGTAGACAAACTGCCGGCCAGGGCAAAGGGTGAGAGAGGGTTGCAGACACTTCTCAATGTAAGAAACGCCGACTGCAATGAGTCTGCTTTTGAGTCACCTCAGAAGAGGTGCTAATGGCATTTGTGCGCCTGTAAGATGAGATGCGGTAGGTAGGTGTGGACAAACTGAAGGGGTAAACAATGTAGGTGTGGGGGTAGCAGATAGATTTTTCAAAATAGGAACCCTGCGGTGTAAGAGACTGTTTTCACATGACCTCAACAGGGGTGCACGCAGTGTGTGTGCAAATGCAGGAGAGCGTGAGTAGATGTTCTGAGGGATCACAGTGCAGGATGGTACAGTAGAAGAAGAAAAAAGGAGGTTGTTTTCTAGAATTGATGTGCAACCTCAAAAACAACCTGCAGGATGGTACAGTAGAAGAAGAAAAAAAGGATTGCCAAGTGTGCGTGCAGTGCAACACAGGGAGGGAGGGAGCCAGGAACAAGAAGAGAGGTGACCGGAGAGCGGTGGGGGACCTAGTGCGAAAACGGCAACCATGCGAAGGGAAAGACGGGTAAGGGTGCAGTCATTAGCCATCTACGAGACCGGTGTGGTGCGGTGCAGAAGTTCCCTCTTAGAGTGATCAAATTCAAGAGGGTGCAGTGCGGTGCGGTGCAGGCCTTACCCTTTTCTCTCCTCGTGAGAAGTGCCGGAGCAGAAGCAGGAGGGCTCGCAGCGTGGGCGGGTACATGGTATTGCCAATGAGAATGAAGACCGACGTGACGATGACCAGAGCTGGGGCCCTCACGAACCCCATTAGGTTATCGTTCAGCAGTGCCGCCCCTGTGTTGGAAAACGTCGACATAGCCTGTGCGGGAAGGAGGAGGGAAGCATGGGGGCCGAGGGGTCCATTTTTAAGGCGTCTCAAAATTAGGTTATCGTTGAGCAGTGCTGCCCCTGTGTTGAAAAACGTTGAAATCGCCTGTGGGGGGGGGGAGGGGGAGGGAGAAAGCATGGGGGCCGAGGGAGGGACAAGTGAGGGTAGATGGAGGGGGGATGACATGAAAGGTGAGTGAGTGACCGGGGAAACAGCTGCCTGGGATGGAAGGCGGCTGACTGGCAAGAAGGGCAGCTGACTGACGTGGAATGCACAGAAGAAGACGCTGTTGACGTTGCTGGCCTGCAGAGTTGCCTTGGCGTCTGTTTTTGAGGCGCCTCAAAAACTGACTGACATGGAATGCGACTGACTGACATGGAATGCGACTGACTGACATGGAATGCGACTGACTGACATGGAATGCGACTGACTGACATGGAATGCAGCTGACTAGCATGGAAGGCGGCTGACTGGCAAGAAGGGCAGCTGACTGACATGGAAGGCACAGAAGAAGACGCTGTTGACGCTGTTGGCCTGCAGATTTGCCTTGGCGGAGGCAGAGATGCTAACGATGAGCAGCAGCAGCAGGAAGGCGGTGAGCAGCGATGTGGCGAGGAATGTGGGTACCAGCCAGCTTAATGTCTCCAGGGCCCTTGATAGGGATAGGGACGGGGGGATGAGGATGGGGATGGGGATGGGGATGGGGATGGGGATGGGGATGGGGATGGGGATGGGGATGGGGATGGGGATGGGGATGGGGATTGGGATGGGGATGGGGATGGGGATTGGGATGGGATAGGGATAGGGGGATGGGGATGGGGATGGGGATGGGGATGGGGATGGGGATGGGGGTGGGGATGGGGATGGGGATGGGATAGGGTGGGGATGGGGGGAAGGGGATGGGATGCGGATGGGGATGGGAATGGAGATGGGGATGGGGATGAGGATGGAAATGGGGATGGGGATGTGCAAGTGTATGTGCATGTGCATGTGCAAGTACATGTGCAAGTACATGTGCAAGTACATGTGCATGCATGGGCAATGTGCAAGTGCAGGTTCCACATCGAAAGGGGGGCATTGCAGAGCAGATGGCACAGAGAGAGGGCACATAGCATGGAACGTGGCACATGGCACGTGGCACATGGCACATGGCACGTGGCAGAGATGGCACATGGCACATTGCAAATTGCACATGGCATGTCGCACATGGCACATGCAATGCACAAGAAAATCATTTCAAAAATGAGATTTTTCGAAAGAGGCCCATCAGAGAACAACAGCAGGGCAGAACAGTGGTGCGGGCAAGTGAGCTATGAGGAGGGCCCACCTGAGCCACAAGGAGGGGAGGGAGGGCTCACCTGAGCCACAAGGAGGGGAGGGAGGGCTCACCTGAGCTCGAGGAATCTGAGTTCACTTGGCTGTGCTGCCGTCAGCCATTCATCCACCATTGCATCCGCGTAACCATCAGCAAACCCGTAACCATCAGCATCAGCGAAATCCAGATCCCCCCCAAGGCTTGTGCCGGTCACACTGCTTTCACGGCTCAACCTCCCGCTCCTCCTCTGCCTTGCCCTGTGCTCCAGACCCCCCAGGAATGGCAAGAATGCGGGGGCGTGTGGTAGGGAGTGTGCTCTTAACGCGGATTGGTTGAGAGATGCAGCACGAGTTAGCCTTGAGGTGAACAGGTCAAGGGAGGAGCGCCTTGTAGCTGCCGCCTCCTGCTCCTCCTCCTGCGGCTGCTGCTGCTGCTGTGCTCTAAGCGCCTCAAGCGCCAATTGGAGGCGCTGCCCTTCAATCCTAGCCGTTTCCCCGGCCCAAGTCATCGAGCTCATCCCCACAGCCCCCTCTGCCTCCACCCCTCTGCCTCCACCCCGCCGGCGCAACCCACCGCGTGTCACCCATCCCTCCTCCACATCCGTCCCCCGTCTGGCGCCACGCCCTTCGCCCTCACCAGCACCTGGAGTCAAGGGGTGCCGCCCTTCTCTTGCCTCCTCCAGGAGTTTCTCCAGGAGAGTTGTCAGGCCTAAGGGCCTTCGGCCCGTGGGAGCTGCTGATTCTTGAGGCGCCTCAAAAGTTGTCAGGCCTAAGGGCCTTCGGACCACAGGCGCTGCTGCTGCTATTGCTGCTGTTGTTGCATCTGCTGCTGCTGTTGCTGCATCTGCTGCATTTGCTGCTGTAGCTGTTCCTGCCGCTGCTGCTGCACCAGAAGCTGCAGCCACAGAGGCCACATGGGACTCGCCTGCTGGAGCGACAGTGCCTGCAGTGGCAGCAGGTATCTCAAGGGAGGGGGCGGGCGAGGAAGAGACAAGAGGGGGAATGCAGGCAGATGAGGTACTTTCTTCTCCTCCGCTTAAGCTAGCAGCAGCAGCCGCAGCAGCAGCAGCAGAAGGGTATGCAGTGGGGTCACTGGCGATAGGATATGCTGGGCCTGTTTCAACGTCAGCAAAACCATCTCCTCCCCCCTCTTCCCCCCCAGCATGCACTCTACTCCCCTGCAGCTGCCCCAGCACTCTCAACCCGCCTCCTCCACTGCCTCCCTGCCTTCCCTTGCTGCTGCCACTGTCACTGCTGCCCCTGCTACCCCTGCTGCCCTTGCCGCTGCTGCAGACGCTCTTGGGACTCGCAGCAGCTGGAGCTGCAGGGGGCAGACCTACAGACCAGGCTCCGTTGTTCCCTGATATGTTTTCTCCTCCTCCATCTCCTCCTTCTCCTCCTCCTCCTCCTCCGCCCCCTGCACCATGCGGCGCTGCCTGAGAGGCGGAGGCTGCAGTGTCAGAGGCCCTGGGGTCGTAGCTGGAGGGTAAGTCGGAGGGGTGGGTCTGGAGCAGGCCAGCGCAGGCGAGATGGCGGTGGAAGTAGTAACGGCGCACCAAGACTGGCACCAGGGACGTCACCACCTGGCAAGCCACAGAGAGAGAGAAAGAGATGGCAGTCAAGCTTTGAGACGTCTCCAAACTCGATTTATGGCAGGCTGGCGTGGGCGAGATGGCGGTGGAAGTAGTAACGGCGCACCAAGACCGGCACCAGGGACGTCACCACCTGGCACACACAGAGAGAGATGGGAGCCATTTTTTAAGTCAATTTTTAGAATCGTAAGAAATGACTCCAATGTGGCGCAGCAGGACAGGCACCAGGGCTGTCAGCACCTGTCAGCATGGCATGGCGTGGCATGGCATGGCATGGCGTGTGGCATGGCGTGGCATGGCATGGCATGGCATGGCGTGTGGCATGGCGTGGCATGGCATGGCATGGCGTGTGGCATGGCGTGGGGCCTGATTGAGAGCATGTACCAGTGAGGGTTTCATTCACCATGCGATTACTGGTTACCACCACGTCATTGTTTCTTTCTAACCACGCACCTGGGAGCCCATGAACATGAGGAGAAGGCGAGCAACGTTGGTGCCATCAGTGAAAACCCCCACATCCACGGTGATGAGTCCCGCCAGGCACACACACGACGTCACATTGAAGAGAGCGTCTATGAAGCTGATTTTCCCTGCTGGCCCGCTCGGCGCCACGCAGAAGACGAGCGTAAAAGCGAGGATGACTATAACGAAGCACAGCATGTGCAGCCGGTAGAAGGTCACGCGCCGCTTGAGCCACGCGGGAAGAGCCACGCCGCGCATCAGCGGCGGTGGTGCGACGGCGCGCCAGGCTGAGATTGCCATGGAAACAGCAGCTCCAGCAGCAGCAGCAACTACCACTAGTTGTAGCACTAGGAGCCTCAAAAACAGGAGCACGGGTACTGCTGGTAGTAGTACCGCTAGAGCGTCACAACGAACAGCAGCGAGATAATCAATAACTTGCTGGAACGACACGGAAACGTGAATGGTGGAGGCTCTGCCGTCCAGAGCAAACGTGCTCGCTCATTGATCCTCCCGGGTGTGTCATGCGAGGAGAGGAGACGTTTGAGTCGACTCAAAAGTCGCCTCATAAAAGAAGTACAAGCGTAGCGGCTGTGGGCAGGTCGTACGTTTACAGCTCATCATTCGTGGCTGAGCTTCACGGTTTTGCACTGTGACGCAACGAATTAGACCGCAAAGAACGTACACGAGACGTACGAATTACACCCCGTCATTGAGCCTCAGATTGGTGAGTTCTGGCGGGTGGAGAGGAGAGGAGGGAGAGAGCGCGGCGACTCTGAGACAGCGGAGACAGTGAGCAGAACGATACTGGAGAGGAGAGAGATGCTCTCGCGACAATCGATGGTTTGCGGGGACGCGGGCCGCGGCCGCGTGAACGACTCGTTTCGGCAAGGTCACGAACAAAAAAATCGCAACCTGTCTTGTGAGCATGACTCGTGTGATGAAGCAATTTTCGATGTGCCTGAAAAGGCGACGACATTTCGGCCATCCTCTTGGCTGACGATTACCATGGTGTCGGTATTCCCCTCCTTACTACAATCACACGGTTCGGGACACCATTCTCGCCGTACAGAGTGTTACTTAGGCGAATATGTTGTACACCGAATAATTTCGACGTGATTCCGCCCGCAAACGGGTAGTTATGGAGCCAAATCCGCATGCTAACAGCAGGAAGTCCCTGTGCCTCACTGAGGGAGGGCCTTGCGGCGAAGCTCGTGCATGCCGTGCTCGCTTGGTTTGAGCAGCAGTTGCATCGCTGAAGATGTATTCCCAATGGTGGCTCACGTCCCGCACATAGCGGGTCTTGACTCTAGGAACAGAGTGGATGGCTCTCATTGGACATTTCGGATAAAGTATAAACGGGAAAAGTGTAAATTATAAATCTTATCAAGGAGAACACTTTAATATAGCCAAATTAACTTATCAAACTACTGTATAGACCCACACAAATTGGCTTCTCAAAATGAGTGCTTCAAAGCTTTCGTAACTTCAGAATGTGCAATAACTGTAGGAAACAACGTCCCCTAATGCACATGACTCAGATAGGGTCACTTATGTTACTTAGTAAAACATGAAATGCCACTGTGCACTCCTGACAGTAGCAATCGAAGCATGCAGTGCTGAGGCTGGAGACGAAAAGGCATAATTGTTGGAGTATGAAAGGAATCGAGTTAGCATTCCTGTAGGTGCAGCTGTATCGCACCCGTCACTTTCGAAGCAGCGTATCGGATCAGCCTGTAACATGGGCAGGAAGGTCAACAATCGCAAAGTCAACTGTCGCGACTGTTGACCATCTCGACCGATTGACTCACCATCGACGAATGGCAACAGGCGTAACCGTCTGTACGGTTACACGCAGCGACTCGGTAACAAGCAAGAAGAGCAATAGTCAGTCACTGTAGAATTGCCTGTAAAACAGTTAGAATAAGGGAATGTAGCCCTCAAAGTACATGGCTAGATATGATTATTATTTAGATATGGCTTAATCTATGCTTTAATCAACTTTGTCATTTACATCCACTATGCACAAGGTTCTTACAACAAGTCTTCTGCTACCAACTCTCTAAGGCAATTCTTATCCTATCCAAGGATCCTTTCTCTAACATGGTATGAGAGCTAGATTGGATTATAGGAACTGCTAAAGGTCTTCAACAAGACAACTTCTACTATAACTTATCCTTACCTCAAGGGCACGCAACATGTCAGGCGCAGATTGTGGAGAGGCTGGAGAAAATCCAGTGCTTCCCTCCACCAATGTCGCTTCTACAACAACGACTGTGGATTCAGCGCAGCTCATCTCCCGCATCAGCGCCCTGGAAAGCCACCAGCCAATAAGCATCGACGGCTCTAGCTACGCCCGACGACCTCCCGATCCTCAAGGAGCTGGGTCTGAACGATTATTTACCTTCGACAATCGCGGAGCTCAAGGTTCTGCACAAGCACAGGCACATCTCGAAATAATGGCGTCAATGCAGAGCAAGTTCCTTACAACGGCAAAATTAAGGACAACCAAGCCCTTCGACGAGAAGGACTTTTACACCTGGAGTTTCAAAATTGAACTCCTAGCCCAAGGCTCACAAATCTGGATGTACTACGACGGATCCTACGCATTCCCGGCCAACGGCTCACCTCAAGAGAAGGCGCAGTACTATAACGAGTCGTTGATGACCTTCACCGTCTCAATCCAGAACTTAGCGACCGAAGAACAACTGAGCATCCGCCCCTTCAAGAACGAGTGGGCGCCCGCGACCGAAGAACAACTGAGCATCCGCCCCTTCAAGAACGAGTGGGCGCCCGCGCAGCAATCCTGGGAGCACCTGCGCACCTGCCACATGGCAACAGACTCAGTGACACTCAGTCGCCTCTTCAACCAGCTAAACAATGTCAAAATGATCCCTGGCGAGAAGGTCGGACCATACATCAACCGCTGCAGAAATCTGAGAGATCAATTCAGGAAAAGTGGCGGCAACTTTCTTGACGACATGTTCGTCACAATCATTCTCGCTGGATTGAGCTCGGAATGGCGCCACTACAATTCGCTCCTTCGCACGCAAGGAACGCTCAACGAAACCTCCCTTTGTGCCTCGCTGCTTTCCGAACAACAGAAGATCGACCTGTACAACGAGAGAGGCAACAAGAAGGAAAAGATCGCGTTTTACGCGCAAGCGCCACCGGACAAGAAAAGACTCTTCTGCAAGTATTGCAAGAAGACAGGACACACGATTCAAGAATGCTGGAAGCTCAACGGCAACAACAATCACAGCCAGAAAGGTGGAGGAACTCACCAGCAAGCCGCCGGAGCTCCAGCATGCAACCAGACATTGTCACCCCCGGCCGTCGCCAATACCTCTCAAGCTCCAGCGCGCATCCCTGCGAATACAAACGACAAAGGAAAGAGCAAGGTACGAACTTGCATGGTGCGTCGGGGACCGCCTCGCCCAAACCGACACTATCGCTTCTTCGCAGATGGGAGGACATGTTTGCAGATCCACCTCAGGAGCGGCCCGAAGGTTCAGTTGAAGATGAAGAAGAGAATGATCCCACCTATGACGAACTGACAGTCGGTCGGATGCAGTTCGATTGGGAAGCGCTGCAGTGGATCCAAGAGTCACCACCTGCACGACGAGGAAGGGTGTTACTACGATTACGAAAACGAACATGACATGGAGCATCACATCACTCTGAAACTCGCGAACCTTCCCAAGGCAAAGAAAGAGGTAAAAAAATGTTACCTGGACAGTTGCTGTGGCCAACACATGGTGTCGGCGAGCATCTTCATCCTCAACGAGGTCGAAATCACCGTCACTAACAGTCATACGATCTATGCCAGGAGCCGCGGACAGATCCAGCTGGAATCACACGACACCGGTTACTGCATCCACATCAGCGACGTCCTCGTCGTTCCCGAGCTTCAGTACGACCTCCTGTCCCTGGACCAGCTGATGAAGTGTGGCATCGCGCTGCAAACAACAGAAAACGAGCTTCACTTAATATATGATGGGATCTTTATCGGAAAAGCAACAAGCGAGGGAGGATTGTTCGTGCTTGACTTCGAATCGCCCAAGACCTCTGGCGACAACCACCACATCATTGTCCTCGATCCCCCCGGCCACCCGTCACCACCAACATGGAGCCATCCAGAAGACACCAATTATCAACGACCCGGCCTCGATGGAACCTTCCGCGCTCTTGCCGTACCCGTTGCTTCGACCACGAACCCTGCAGTCACAGGACCACAAGTGGTGGAAGAAGAAGAAGAAATTACATCGGAAGCAGCAACCACGGAAGTCGGAGGATTTGCACGAGCAATCTGGCCCCGCATTCAACATCCTACCGATTGGAACTCAACCGAAGGCTGGGACGCGGTGGACGCTCACTGGGTCATGGAAAACACCGCACTGGGAGAAGCCGCTGCAGCTGAAACAGGATGGAGAAACGTCACCGAAGGACCTGCAGCAGAAGAAGCAGAAGCAGCAGAGGAACCAGAAATCACTGAGGAGGCACCAGGAGCAGAAGAAGAAGAGTCACTAACGGAGTACGGCCCTCACCTCATTCCCATCACAACAGACGGCAGGGATTACCTCCGCATCGAGACAAGGGGAGCGGCGATCGGCGACACACACTTCGAGGAAGGAGAAGTTACGCAGCTAGAAGATCGTCGCCCGCGAGTCACACCAACACCTCCTGAAGGACCACTAGAGCTACCCGTGACGATCGACACCTCCACCATCAGCGACACCAGCGGGACATACCACGGCGCGACACTCCAAGAAGCAGCAGTTCAAGTCACTGTATCCGATGAACCTGCGGAACAAGTTGGGAAGGAGACCGCAGAAACAATATTAGCACGGGAGAAGGAACTCTACGCAGGCACAAAGGGATATCGCACCGACGGGGACATCTGGCACCAACGATTCGGGCACCCATCAATTGAAGTGCTCAACAACTGCATCAACGCAAACATTTTTGCGGCAGACGCACTATTGCTGCCAGATGGAAAGCTACTCAAACCGAGAACCGACTTACCCAACTGCATCGTCTGTCCGACGGCCGCGCTACGTCACACGCCCTTCACCGAGAAGATACCGGGAGCCGAACGTTACAAGCCGCTCGAGAAGGTCTACAGCGACTTCCTGGTGCTTACGGCAAAAGGAGTTGGAGGAGAACAGTATACGCTTACCTTCATCGTCGCCGGCACAAGCTTCGTATGGGCCGTAAATGTCAATAACCGCTATCTCGCCTACCAGTGCTTTGAATTCTGG